TCGTTTTGTTCAAATTATAATTCACAATGAAGTTAGTAAATGAACTTGGAAATGAATATAGGATGATAGCAGCTGAGACACGATCCTCAAACTTAATTCTGGTGGTAGCAACTCTTTCAATTAAGCTAATCATTTTGAGAACGTGCTCAGACACGTTGCCACCCTCTTGAAGCCTACACTTGAAAATGTCTGTCAGAAGTTCATACTCTAGAGTCTGACTTTTCGAATCAGACTTTTCAAGTGTTCAAGCATCTCGAAGGCGCTCATCCTATCGTGTTGCCTTTGCAACTCCATAGACATTGCAGCCAACATAACACATTGCCCAGTTTAGCATCAGTGAGATGTTTCTCTCGAGCAGTCAGGTGAAACGTGAAAACTCAGGAGAGTTGGCATCAGGAATCTTGGGTACCGGTGTGTCTAACACATACTCAAAATCTTCTTGTCTAAGAACTAAACGCACATTTCTTTCCCAGTCCAGAAAGTTTGGTCCGTAAGCTTGCATGTATCCAAGATACTTCTCAATGATAAATTCGACATTCCTAAAAGCCTAAAAAAGTTCAAATAGAACGGGAATTAAATTCATATAATAATTCCTATGATCACATTTAGTTAACTAAATAATATGGATTTTTAATTATTTAGCTCCCACTATTTTTCATGTTCTTTGACCCCAATAAAAAAAGAACATAGATTGTTTTGACAATCATAGTGGCCAAGATCCACATTCATATTATAACAGCCTTAGCTTGGGCTGATCACTGCAATAAAATAATGGGTAGGTCCCTAGACCAATTGTGTCCAAACAACTCTTGGTTGATCAATTTTTAAATTGATAGACATCTCTAAATTAACACTGACGTTTGGGCGACTCAAGCTAATTTAAGTAAGTCAAAACCATTACACGATCACAAACATATGTATCTACTCCCTCCGTCCCGCAATGAACTTCCCACTTTCCTTTTTTGGATGTCCCAGAAACAAGTTCTCATTTCCTTAAATGGCAAGTTAATCTACATCAAAACAATGTCAAACAGTGCAAAACAGTGTCGAAACAGTGTCGAAACAGTAAAATTTACCCCATGGTAAGTTTATTTCCTTAATATGTGTAGGTCAAACTGTGAAGTTCATTGTGGGACGGAGGGAGTATAAATTAGTTCTATATTTTGTCGAATGGAATAAACACTTGGGTAAAATATTCTTCAACGAAAAAATATTTCTACTAGTTTAATTATGATGGGTGATGCCGTTATCCTAGATAACGCTTAAATTTTAATTTATGGGGAACATTTAGCGGGATATTAAATTATTCTATTTAATCAAGATGCTTAGAACATACTACCTCCGTCCCTTAAAACTTTGCCAAGTTTGACCGGAACAGGGATTAATAAATTAAAAACTGTGTTGTTGAGGTTTGTGCAGAGGAGAGAGAATTAACTGGAACCACAAATTCTTTACTTAAAAGGGAAATTGACAAAGTTAGTGGGACATCCAAAAAAGGAAAGTTGGCAAAGTTTTAAGGGACGGAGGGAGTATTATCAAATAATATGTTAACGAGATATAACTCAGACAGATAACTTAAGCATGCAATATAAATCTAATTTATATAAACAAATACAATTCAACAATTAAAGAAAAAACACACTTAGGGTATGTTTGGCAAATGGCTTATCAGCCAGCTTTTAGCTTGTTTGACCCATTTCAACTGTTTGATTAGTCAAAGAAGCTAATAATAATGTTTGGTAAATGGCTTTTAAAATTAGCTTGTTGAGTTTGAAAAGCTGAAAAAATGGATTGTGGAAGAAGCTAAGGGGAGCAGCTTCTTCATTTGGTTGGTTCAATTTACACTCTATCAGCCATTTCGAAAGAGCCAATTTTACCAAACAGTTATTTATAATCAGCCAACATAACCAGTCGGTCAAAACAGCTAACACAACCAGCTGTTTCGCAACAGCTGACACAACCAGCTACCAGCAACAGCTAACAACCATTTACCAAACAAGGCCTTAATAATACGGAGTAAAACAATCGGTTAAAGTCAAAATTTTATTAAATTAGACTTATTGCATCTCTAAGATCATTAATCCAATTAATTACAAACTTAGTTTAATTTAATTATTACGGAGTACTATAACCAAACACTATGTTTTATTACTATACACCCAAATTAACATGTATTTAGTCTCCTGCTAAAAACCGAGTTCTTATTGATTAGTGCTCCGTATATCAAGTTTCAATCTAATTAAACGTTTACAAAGTCTAGGACTTTAATAAAAATGCAGTTGGATCCTTGTTTTTAATCTATTTCTTGATTTCAATCAGGAGGTATAATCTTCGAATTTGGCCAGCAGCGAATGATCCTTCTCTGCACAGAATTCAGCAAAGAAACCAGCATCTTTTTGCCGAAGAGTATCCAAGCATGTCATGATGCACAAGTGTTGCCATCCGCCTGGGCGTACATCGGCTTCCATGGTCGCTCCGGCATAGATTTGTCGTAGGTGATCGAAAGAAAACGCAGAACAGAGGCGAAAGCGAGATCGACAATCGACAGTCCAGCATTAGTACGAAATTATCAGCTCGAAATTTGTTTACAACCAAAACAGAGAGATTAGACGCATATAAGAATCATAGGATGCGAAGAACACGGCACAAGATGTAATTATTATATTCTATTTTTCAGTTTCAGATCCCAATTTCAAAAATCAAAATCTAAATACAACAAAAATAAATATTGCGCAGTAACTCATGATCATTCAACAACACTCAATCAACGTAGTTTGAGAAGACGATGAGTGTTTATATCAATCAAAAAAATATCTAAGCTATATTTAAAATCCAAATTGATTTCATAAATCAAAATCGACTTCATAGATCAAAATTTCGGCGATCACATAATCTGAGGAAACATATGTATCTTGATCCACAAAATATGTATATAATTCGTATAATGCCAATAGAATCAGTTTGGCTCTGATACCACTGTTAGGAAATTGATGTAACGTACCTCGAAAGTACAGCATCGGAAGTTTAAAATTTTCCCAAACCAATCTTCCCTGATTATGACAAAATAACGAATATGATAATAATAACAGATCTGAGTTAGAACTTACAGATCTTCCAGCCTAGCGGTGATAATCCTTGACCTTTGGTATCCACGTGATTTCTCCTTTCCGAAAGAACGGTTAGATCTCCCTAAGAGAAAGGCTAGGAAATCTCTTCGCAGAGAAAATAAACTGGTAATACTGAATCTGAAAAATGGCATATAAATTATGAAGGAGAAGGATGTATTTATACTAGTTCTAAACTAGTTTCCCAATCACAATGAAAGTGTTCTTCATTAATGAGTTTAATCCTATTAGGACCAAAACTCATTATTAATTAAATAGTTGAATAAAACAAAATAATTAATAATAATAATAACAATAGAGAAATGGCTGCACGCCACTCTCTATTTGTTATATCTATATTTTTATTTATTTTCTTTTCTTTCCTTTTAGTTCCAAATCATAAAAGTAAATAGCAACTTTATTTAATAATAAATACATCTTAATTAAGTACAATAAATCTAATTTATTCCACTTAATTAATTCTATCAAATAGAACTCTCCTTCAACTTCATGAATTAAATATGTTTAAATCTAATCAATATTTAATCCATTTTCAGTATTACAAATCAACTATTATTTAATCCAATCAATAATATTTAATTCCTTCTAACAATTCAATCGGAAGGTATAATCACTTGTTGTGTGACCTATAGGGCCTTATATATTAAGCATTAATCAAATTAAGGTCTTAGTAGAATCCCTAGACGATTTACCAGACAAACTTAATATAAAAGGACGTTTGCGAGGACTATTCAAACTCCCTGTAAGATAGAGCTCATAGTGATACGGTCCTTTCATTCAGTGAGCATTCAACTAAGTCTAGAATATGATATTGTGTCTATTCCAATAACTTAGTTTCTATCTCTCAATCTTTCTAGATGATCCATAATGATCATATTCGTTATCCAAAACGAATATATCTTTGCATTGGCCAATGACTTTATGATCCATCTAGATATGAGAAGTAGAATTTTCTCTCTTAATCTATTACGAGGAATGAATCCTTTCTTGGCTCAACTACTACTCCATGTGCTTCGTGATGCACCCAACACATGTCGTATCTACCCCAATCGGAGTGCAAGCGTTTGTTATGGTCAAAGTACATCACTCCGCACATGTAGTACGTATTAACCTCAAGTCGGAGGACTATTACACTACTCTATACGCCCATAATCCCATAGACACATGAATAGAACTTATCAAATGGTTTCTTGGTGGGTATGCCAATATATTCTCTAAAATATCTATGTGACAATCATGAATTACATGAACTCATAGTTGTGAGATCAACTATACTTTCTAAAAGTATGATGCAGTTCACATACCAATCTTATCGCATATCATCAATATCACATTCTTGATGATAATTGATTGGGGCTATTTTAGGACTTTATGTTATATCATATAAGTTCCCACTTACTTATTTACAACATAAGTCTAAGGGAACACAATTATGAATAAGATATTGACAATCGAAATACTTAATCATCAATGTGTAATACCGTATATATCAAATATATAAAATTGAATGTGATCAAGTACATATATCTCTAAAACGTGATTGTCGCTAGGACATATATACTAACACATCTGACCCCCCTTACCCCTTGTAAGTGGGAACTTTGTGGCAGTGGGGTAATGATAATAATGATGATGATGATGATATTTTTGTATGGATCTTACTCAACATGATAGTGAGATATTAATCTGATAAAACTCATTGCACTGAACATTATATTGATGGTGAAAAAATGTTTTTTACACCGATAAGTAGGATTGCACCGGTTCGGTTTCGGCCCAGACTGGCCGATCATGAGGAAATAATATAGTGTCCTTGGATTATGACATATATCACCAGGCCCGTTTTTTGGCAGGTTCATTAGGGTTGCTAGAACAGGGCCTCACAATTTTGGGGCCCCCCAAAGTTTTCAATAGTAATAGTATATATAATTATATTATATAATATTAATTAATAAATAATAACAATACGGAGTAACATTTAAGAGGCCGCCTCAAACAGTCAAACGACGCTACTCTTCTAAGTCTTCTTGGAAGTCGGAAACGACGCAACTCACGCAAGACACTACAGCCGCTGCTTCCTTCTCTTAGACCGCAAAGCACAGGGGTCACATAAACCAGGTTAATACACTCAAAAGCGATGCTACGCAGCCTACGCTACTTCAGTAACGTACTTCTGACTTCTGAGTAGTGAGTTCTGACTTCTCCACTTTGAGAAGTTTGAGGTTTGTACGATTAATTAATTTATTTGATTATAGATTTATAGTTATTAATTTATTATTTATTTGATTTATTTGATTATAGATATTATTGATTACAGTTTGAAACTTGATCAATGATTAATTGATTTATTTGATTATAGTATTATTTATTAACTTATTATATATTTATATTATACTATCATATTAGTTAATAGTTAATAGAATAATAGTTAAATACTAAATAGTTATGAGTTTAATAATTTATGATTTATGAATAAGATTTCTGAATTTGGGATTTTGTATTGTTAATTTCATGATATAATTTATAATTTCAGATTTCCGAATTTGAGTTTGATATTTAATTGCATATTTTCCCTTTTTCAGGTTGGTTGGTTGGTTAGGCGATTTCAACAAGCAATCTCTCATTTAAAGTTTTATAGCCGGATCATTCATACATAGAAACTACCAAACTTTGCTTGAATCCAGGTGATATTCTTCTCGCTTGAAACATCTACTTATTCTTCATGTCTTCAAGAATTAGAAAGTATGAATCGGGGTGCGAGAAACCAAAGAAAAAAATGAGATTGGATGCGGTAACCGAGTCTCAAAGAGGAGCTCTAGATAGATTTATGATAAAAAAAAACTCTAGTGCTAGTGGAAGTGCTATTGTAAACTCTAGCGTGAACTTAGATGGTGATTTGCCTATTGAGAATGACAAAGAAATTGATGATCTATCAGATAAGGATGTTCTTAGGGATGGCGATGAGAATAATAGTGATCCCACACCGAGTGATACTGAAAATCATGAACAATCTAAAATCGGAGAAACTTTTCAAATCTGAAAGTCATTAGCGTTGCATGAACTAAGTAATTTTGAATTCTTAGTGGCAATAGTTATTTGATATGAAATCATATATCATGTTAATTTGGTCAGTAAGACTTTGCAATCAGAGAGCATGCTTATAGATGTTGCTATTCAAGAGATAAAGAGTTTGATTACTTTTTTTGAGGGATACCGAGAAAGTGGTTATGAAAATGCTATAGAAGAAGCCAAAAAAATTTCCGTTGAGCTAGATATTGATCCAATATTTCCTCAAAGGAGACCAATTCGACGAAAGAAGCAATTTGATGAGAGTCGAGATAGCACTTCAGAAGTTGTTAATCTATCTGCTGATGAGTCGTTTAGACTTAATTATTTTTTATATATTGTTGATCAAGCTATTGTTTCATTGAGAAGGAGGTTTGAGCAATATCAGGAATTTGAGAGTATTTTTGGGTTTTTATTTACTTCTGAGAAATTGAGTTCACTAGAAGATGCACAATTGAAGTTATGGTGTTCTCATCTTGAAGGTGCTCTTAAGAAAGATGAACAGTCTGATGTTGATGGAGATGATATGTATATGGAATTGAAACTTTTTATCTCTTTCTTACCGAAGAAAAAGTTGGGACCTATTGATCTCTTCAAATTTTTGAAGCGTTATACTTGTTTTCCTAATGTAGTTGTTGCATACAGAATAATGTTGACTACCCCAGTGACTGTGGCAAGTGCAGAAAGAAGTTTCTCCAAACTTAAATTGTTGAAATCTTATTTGCGATCTACAATGTCACAAGAGAGACTTAATGGTTTGGCAATGATAGCGATTGAGAATGAGTATTTGGAGAAGATTGAGTACAAGGATTTGATCGATGATTTTGCTTCAAAGACGGCAAGGAGGACAACTTTATTTAAGTGACAAAATACAATTCTATGTAGTTATTTTAAAATTTAAATTATGTCATTTTCTATATAAACACTTGAACGATTAATTTTGTTGAACTTTATAACTTTGTTTTTTAAAGAACTTTATGACTTTGTTATTATATGTGATTTTGTTTTTATTTATACGTGGGGCCTCATATTTGCACCCGGAACCGGGGCCTCTAAATTCATTAGACGGCCCTGTATATCACTGGTTTCGGACCCTGTCCAGTCTTGGTTTTATTTTTGTGAGGGGAAATTGAATGCATTATGAATGCTTTCTGGTGGACCGCGTCATCTCGAAGGGGTATCCGCTGGATTGCTGGAAAGAGTGGGCGGGAATGTGCAAGCTGAAGTCAAAAGGAGGAATGGGGTTCAGAAGTCTGGAAAACTTTAACTTATCATTTAACAATGATAGGCAAACAGATATGGTTATTGATTAACAAACCAGATTCTCGGGCGGCCAAGATATTCAGAGCACAATATTTTCCTTGGACATCCTTCCTCGAAACTGGATTAGGTCACAATCCCTCATACATTTGGCAAAGTATCTGGGAGGCTAATGAGAGACTTAAAGAAGGGTACCCGTGGCGGGTTGGAGATGGGAAATTTATCAAGGTTTGGAAGGACCCAAGAGCGACATCTGATGTAGTTCAGCCGTTCAGGGCTTGGAAGATATCCTTGTGGTTAGCTTATTCTGAAACTCTGAAAGGGAGGGGCTGGTTGGGACAAGGAGCTGACATTAGGTACACCCATGAGTAGAAGAAAAATATCGGACCGATTAATATGATCACTGGAAGGAAATGGGCAATATACTGTTAAATGTGGGTACCAGTTTCTATCTATGTAAAGCGACGAAGAGCAAAAGAACTCGTGGACTCATGTTAAGGTATTTTTTTGGCAGCTTTGCTGTGGGAGTTTGCCCATAGCGGATAATGTGATTTGAAGGAGAGTGGAATGTTCTCCTATTTGTGTAGTGTGTATTTGGCGGTCCGGGACCGGGTGTGGACCCGAACCGGTGAGAAAGGGCGGGGCGGGCACGGTTACGGAAAAATGTGACCCGGCCCGGCCGGGTCGGGCCCGGGCCCGGGTCCGGGTCCAACGGTATAATTTAAAAAAAAAAATTGTTAAATTGGTACTACTAGCCGTTATGGGTGGGCTGGGGACAACCCAAACGGCTATATAGCCGTTGGGTGGGGTGCTGGGGGGTCCGGGGGGTTGGGTGGTGGGGGGGTGGGGGGTAAAAAAACTTATAAATACTCCTAATCTTAAACATTTTTTCATCTCTCTCCTCCAATTCTTCCTAAATCCTATTCTTAACTCTCTACTCTCTAATTCTCTTATTCTCCATTCTCCAATATATTATATTTATTATTTATAGTTTATATTAATTATCTACTTATATTATATAAACTATAAATAGATATAAATAGTATTATATTACTTATATTTGTTATCTAATTATATATTACTTATATATTTATTATATCTATTAATATAGTTGGAATTATATCTAATAAATTTGAAATCATTCTATTACTCCCATCCGAAAGACCGAAAGTCCGAAAGAGGTACGAAATTATTCTATTATTTATACTTGTTTAATTACTAGTTAATTTGCTACATTTGACTCTAGTTTAATAGTTAGATAAATAGTTAATTAGTTTTTTACAATTTTTTATTAATTGCTACATTTGACTCTAGTTTAAAAAAATATGTTGTACACAAAACTAGTTAATTCACTAGTTAATTTGCTATAACTCGAATTAATAGTTAGATAAATAGTTAATTAGTTTTTTACAATTTTTTATTAATTGCTACATTTGACTCTAGTTTAAAAAATATGTTGTACACAAAACTAGTTAATTCACTAGTTAATTTGCTATAACTCGAATTAATAGTTAGATAAATAGTTAATTAGTTTTTTACAATTTTTTATTAATTGCTACATTTGACTCTAGTTTAAAAAATATGTTGTACACAAAACTAGTTAATTCACTAGTTAATTTGCTATAACTCGAATTAATAGTTAGATAAATAGTTAATTAGTTTTTTACAATTTTTTATTAATTGCTACATTTGACTCTAGTTTAAAAAATATGTTGTACACAAAACTAGTTTTTTACATCTTTTTATTAATCGCTACATTTTTTAGATGGATCGTCCTAGATATTCGGTTGATATGGGTAACCTCGAGCGCAACCGAACGAAAGAGCTTGCGAGGAAGAGATCTCGTAAAGGTAAATCACATATCGGCTCTTCATCTCAAAGTCGAGATGATTTTGATACGGGTTACGCAAGGAGGGATGGGGATGCGATGACCGACGAACAACTAGAACAAGAATTGCACCGACATAATTCCCGCTTTTTTCAAGACCAACCGAGGACCATTGACGAAGAAGAGCTCGAGGACGAGGACGACGATGTGGAGGAAGTAATTCCGGAGAGCCACGACGACGAGGAGGAGGAGGGTGGCGGCAGCCATGACGCCGACCAACCAGCCTCATCCCAAACAGGTACAAAAAAAAGTAAATCTGAACTAATGGCTAATAATTTTTCTAAGTGGAAGGACCCGAACACCGGGAATTGGACCGCAACTTGCAATTGGTGCAAGAAAAACTATAGCTTGGGGATTTCCGGCGGATACGGATCCGCCACAAGACACCTTAAGTCCAAACACCCGGTGGAGTATGCAAAATTAGGCGGCGGAACGGGGAAGCAAACGCAAATATCGAGGTTTGCAAATAACCAACAAGCTTTTGGTAAATTCTCATACAATGATGCACAAAATTTGACAGGTATGGCTAAGAAAATTTGTTGAAGAAAATTTGACTTATTTGTTTTCTGAAAGTCTTGCTTTTCGTGATTATGCACAAACTTGTTTAAATCCGCAATATAGAGGTTATAGTCGCAAAACGGTTAAGAAAGAAATTTCAAGGCTTTATGGTGCGGAAAAGGTAAGGTTACAAAATTATTTTGCAAACTTTGATGGACGTGTTACTGTATGTTCTGACATATGGGAGGATACTTATCATAATTTACATTATTTGGGTCTGACTGTACATTATATTGATAATGATTGGCATATGCATAAACGTGTTCTTGCTTTCCTTGAATTTAATGATCGTCACACCGCTGAACATATTTATATTTTGATTGAACGTATTTTAATTGAGTATAATTTAATTGATAAGGTGTTTGCTATTGGTTTTGATAATGCTACTAATAATACTGCTGCTATTCCTAGATTGCGTGAATTGTGTGGTTCTACTTCTTTGATGGGTAGATTTTTTCATCAACGATGTGCATGTCATGTTCTAAATTTATGTGTGCAAGATGGTCTAAAAGCGTTGGGAGCATCGTTGGAGGTAGTCAAGGGGGGGATTAGACGTATTTGGGGTAATGGACAACTTAGGAAAAAATGGCATGATTATTTGATAGAAAGAGGTGAGAGATATGTGGCTTTTCCTAAAGATTTGTCTATTCGTTGGAATAGTACCTATAAGTTAATTGGAGTTCTTCTTAGATATAAACAACATTAACCTACTTTTATGAAACAATATGATAACTATATTATAAACTCGGCTGAGATCGACACCTGTGAAAAAATTTGTAATGCTTTGATATATTTTAATAATGCAACTGAAACTTTTAGTCATGTTTATAAGCCTACCTCAAACCAATTTATTCGTGAAGCTGTTAATCTCGCCGGTGCTTTTTCATATTTTGAGAATGCTGATTATGTGAGTTATTTTGCTAGTTTTATGAAGGAAAAGTTTTTAAAATATTATTCACATATTCCGCATATTTATGGTATTGCATTTGTTCTCGATCCTCGTTTTAGACTTGGTTCGTTAGAAGAATGTTTGAATTATTATTATGCTGCTTTTTTTGGTCCATTGCCAATGTATGAGGACAACCCAATTGATCCGAAAAAAGAATACAACGAGGTTAGTGATATATTTTATGCATTATTCAATGAGTTTCATGCACAATATGGCAATGCGCCCCCTCCCCCGACACAAACATCATCTAAAGGAAAATCAATTTTCAAATCTACGTTTGCCAATCTTATTAAAAAAACGAAATCAACTCCCGCTACACAACAAAGCGCAATTAATGAGATTTCTTTGTATTTAACTTATGATGTTGATTTTGAAGAAGATGATGATTTTGATGTACTAAACTGGTGGAAGGGAAAAGAAAGAATGTTCCCGGTTTTAGCAAAGATGACTAAGCAAGTGCTATCAATGCCGGTTTCAACGGTTGCCGTGGAACAAGAATTTAGTTCGGCCGGCAATGTCCTAACACAAACGAGAACGAGGTTTAGCGCTGAATCTCTTGAGATGCTTATATGCTACCACGATTGGTTGAAAGCAGCCCGTAGAGCTCAAAAAATTGACATCACCCCATCCCAACACTTTATGGATGAATCTACAACCGAGGGTGGCTCTACCTATGCCGGAGATTCCGATTGAAATATTGAATGATTGATTAGTATTTCATGTTTTAAAAACAATTATAGTTCCTATTTAATTTTCAAATGTAGTTCCTATTTCATTTCAAATAAATGCACTTGAAGTTTGTTTTTTAATACTTGTATAAAACTATAAAGTATAAAATATAAATTAAAAAAAATCTAACCGACCCGACCCGGCCCGACGGGTGGCCCGACCCGTGACCCGGGCAGGTGGCCCGGCCCGAACTGGACCCGTCCAACCCTCGGGCCGGTCCCGGGCCCATGTGATACGAACCGGCGGCCCGACCGGGCCTAGGCCCGACCCGAATCCACCCCTAGCCTGAAGTAAAGGAACAAGGACAGTAAAGCTTGCAGATTGAAGTTTGACATTGACACAACAATTAAACATGGTTCACGCGATCACGATTGTATTTTTTGGCGGGTGGTGCTATCCAAAAGCGAGGTGAATACATTCCTTCCGAGGCTGAGGCTTTGGGATTACATTAACGTTGAATCTGATGCTTTACAATTAATTCAGTGTTAAGACTGAGTCGTACATATCTTCTCTTGGTCTGGTAATTCAGGACATAAAAGAGTCAGCACCTTATTTTCTTACATTATTTCATGTAAAGCGATCAGTGAATCGAATGGCCTATAATCTTGTACAGGCCACTGTTTCTAGGACTGACAACTATATAGTAATAATATAGTTGATGTACTTGAACTTTGATTTTAATAATAATATAGTTAAATTTTGTTGTTATGAAAAAAATCTCTTGAATTGTATGAATTAATCTATTATAATATAATAGCAAAAGAAAACTTGCACAAGAAGTTCCCGCCCAAAGTTAGAAATTTCTAGATTCATGATGCCAGCTTCACAACAGTAGCCTTTAATTAATTTTCAAATTGAGATTTTATAAAAATATACATCGGCAATTACAATTGTTGTTAAATAATCCCAACATAAGCTGCATGACGGTTCCCATTTCAAGAATGAGTTTGATTGGTCGTTTTGTAGGCAAGAGCAGATGTTCAACTTCCCAATGTTGCATTTAACGCATCTTTGTTCATTTTTTATAGGATCCGTATCAGATACCTGTGTATAAATAGGGGAATGTGTGATTAGCAAATCGGTTTTCAGCCTAAATTACATCCGAGCCCTAAACAAATTTAAAAACTTATACACACATTTTATATTACGTACATACGTCTAAGCATAGACAAACAAAAATATTTATATTTGCCTCTATGAATCTGGCATGTTGCTGTTTTCATAGAGAGGATATAAAAGACTTTAGCTTTCAGCATTCTCGACTGTAATCCTCAAAGTTTCATATTTGATGAAAGAATTATGGAAAACATAACGGAAGGAATATAATAATATGGATTATAGTTTTTAAGTAAAATATCAAAGACAAAAATAGATTGAAGGGCAAATATGTCTCCAACCCAAAAAAATCAGAGTACGAGTTAAAAACTCAAAATGTGTACAACAAGTCAACAAGTAAACCAAAAGCCAGACTAATCACCAAACACCATGCATCATGTGTTAAGCACGATACAAGAAAGTAAATACCAACCTCAAGTTCTGTGATGAGTTTATTCATTCTTTCGAAATATATGCTGATTCCAGATGTGTATTTGGAACACATTCTGGGTAAATGAATGCCTTCATATTTGCACTATCGGAATTCTACAACCACACCGATCAAGAAGATAAATAAGGAGAAATAAATATAAATCAATACATTTAGTGAGTTCTAATCCTCGGCTTCATCTTCAGCTCTCATACAACTCTATTCTAATCCTCGGCTTCATCTTCAGCCGATTTCAGCCAATTTTTTCACCAAACACTTCACTTTTAATTCTGCACACTGAATTGTTTAATAATAAGAAAAAGTAAGACTCAAATCAATTTTCTGATTGCAATGCCTGACGTTAGTGTATAAGATCTTTTTAGCTATTTTTTCATTTAATTTTTTTTTATTTATTAATAAAATATATTTTAAATATAATTTTACCATAAATTAATTGAATCCGTCAATTCAACCAATATAGCAGATTTGATTGATTAAACCAATTTCAGTTACCAAATGGCTCTAAGCTTTTACCTCACAAATTGTTTGCAATCAGTGTAGTACTAAAACATTATACATTAATAAGATATATTTCTCAATTATTTGTGATTTAGGAAACTAATTATTACTACCTCCGTCCCAAAATACTTTGTCATCTCATTCAATTTGGACCATGATTTTGATTAGAATATAATTATAAAAGTTATAAATTTTATACTTTTATGAAACTAATTTTGACAAGAAGCATATCAATAACATTTGTATATTATAAATAATTTCCAATAAAAATATATAGTTGATCAAAATTGTGAATATAACAATGTTTTTTGAATCGTATTACGTAATTTTCATAAACATAGAAAGAAATAAGCAAGTAAAATAATCACGTCTTTTGAGCACTGAACTCTTCTTAATGCCCTCTTACCCCACGCTTGCTTTTTAGTATTTCGTAATAAACATCTAATGTAATGACCATCGGTAATAGCACATGTAAGACTCTGTCTCACTTTGATGTACTACCTCTGTTTCGAAAAGGTTCGCTATATTGACTTTTCTTAGTCAATGATGTTAAACATTGGACAATGATTTTATTTATTATATTTGTATATAATTTATAAATTTTATACTTCTATGAAAACATTTTGGACAAGGAACATTTTGATATAATTTCGTATTAAAAAAATATGATTGGCTAAATTTGATTGTCATTGTTATCGGTATTCAAAGTATTGTTATATTGAGTGTGACAATGAAATCCTTTGTTATCATCATATTTTTCCTACTCTTCTTCACTATTTGTTTTGTATATATTTTTGGTATTCATATTATTGTTTCTTTTTGAAATTTATATTAGCGTTATGTGTGTATATTATTTGTTCGTGTTATATAAAATCTTTATGCGTTATATGTATACAAAATATTCCTCCGTGCATCGCACGGGTGGAATACTAGTAATAATAAAATCGTCATTAAAGGTATTGATTATAAGTATTAATATAGAACTTCAACAATTAAGTAAGCAAATTACACATTCTTAAAGACATGTCCTATTTGGTGCCAATGGAGTAATGTTCATGGATTTAACTTCTCTATCAGCGTTCTGCGTACAAAATTGGTATTTAAAACGATCATGGTGATTGTTTTTTTTTTAATGAAACACAAGCATGCTTCAATATGCTCAAGCCTCAAGGTGTGAGAGACGGAAACTTGTAATAAATTTGAAAATTTGCCCTAGTGCTTACATATATAATGTACAATGAATCAGAGAATATCAGGCTACAATGGTAAGTTCTCATATATCATGTGATACAAAAGACATGTAAAACTATTCCCAGTTTCCAAAATCCGCTCAATATACCTTGATCAGTCACTCTCACTATCTGATATGTATCTCCTAGCATCAAACGGCTCATTCTTTGAAGCTGTATAATCCATATGAATATTGTTGACCTCATTCACTGGAGCAAATGCTGTGGAATTGTTGAAGATAACAGAGATATAATCAGCAAAAAATGATTTGAAATGATGTATCTAGTGTGGAGTAACTTATAAAGAGTGACTAGAGTAACCAGACAAAAACTTCCAGCTTTAGAGCTTCTATGGGAAGTTGGGAACCTACATTTTCATTTATATTTTTAATCACGTCTGAAAATATTCTGCTTTTAAAACAATCTTTTGCATTAAGTTTCAGCTGCGGTTTAGGATGTTTTTACATTGGACTGGAATTTTCTGGTCTCGTCTGGTATGAACTGGTCTGGTAAATGTCTTATCTGTGTATTTTACAACTATCCGAGTCTAGGACTGAAAACAGTCCAAGTAAAAACATCCTTAGTTGGAACTCGGTAATTTACAATTTATGGTTATTTTCAACAACTCAATTTTATTTTTGAGCTCTTTTCATACAAGTTTGACCTTGTAGGCTTGTACAAATTAATTTCTAATTGCATCCCACAAAATCAATTATTTCTAACCACATTTGAGCAAACCTTTAATAAGAATTATGATGGCAATCAACTATTCATATAAATATATAATCCAAACACAATCTTAGCTGAGCTTTCTCAATTTTAATAACTACCATTATCTAATCAAAGGACTATCTGACTTAAGAATGGTTAAAAAGAAAGGACAAGAGCAACTGGAAAAAGGAAATAAAAACATAAATAAAACAAACTTAAAAGAAATGCAAAAAAACAACCGAGATACAAGAACTACACAATCTTACCTCTTTCTCTCGTTCTTCTTTCTCTGTCATACTCAAACTTGTCACGGATTAACCGAACCCTATCAGAGTTATCATCTTGCCTATCCCTAACAAAACCATGACCCTGCATTTGAAAACAATAAGTTGGGTTAGACCAAGTTATACTGCACTTCAGATGGGATAGTCTGAAGATGAGAGCTAACAGAAGCTAGCACATTACATAGAAATGATAAATAAATTATATTCTGTAAAAGGTCTAGAGCTGGAAAAGTTCAAAATAATCTATATGAAGATTAATAATGCACAGTTCAGAGCTCTAAGCATACTCTAAAAACATAATATGATGGTCAGAGTTGGTACCTTTATCTGTTCTGTATAAGATTTGCTTCTCCTGCAAATAAATACACACATTATTGACTTCCACAACATCTCACCACATTATGATATCAAATCATATTATGGAAAAAAAACACAGGGTTAAAAAGCCATATAATTAATCATCAATGAGATTAGGGGGGCCTGGGGTAAACGGGGCTGGAACTCCCTCCATGAATATTGAATATTCTTATATTTCTACTTATATTTGAAATACTTGAATATGCATAATTCTAACACGAGACCTCCCGTATGGGAGAGTGAGGATACGGAGAGTGAGTCGGCGACCAGCTGAGTTGAACCGCTTTCTCGTTAATCATCAATGAGAAAGGAGACATAAATGGAGTAAAAGTGGACCAACCTATAAGGGGAAAAGTCTTCATCATCATCTTCAGCAGAATCATAGTTTGCATGGTCTTGACCAAGTTTCTTAGAATAACCTTCGTCCCAGTACAACCTCTCCCAATTTTCTCTCAGCTCATTATATAGCTCCATATACCTTTTGGACCATGGTTCATGCTCCTGTTAATCAAGGTTTGAAATCAATTAAGCACAAATTATGGGAAACCTGCTTATTACCAGAATCATCTTTAGCAGAATAGCAGGTGGAGGCAAAATCTGAACAAAATCCAGCTTCTCGCATTGGTAAGACTCCTGTTTATGAATTATTGATAGGTCTTAACCTCATATTCGAAACTCAGCACCCGTGCAATAATCATATGTGGATGAACAGATACATTTCCAATTAACAGAGAATATAGAAATTCAATTACAAGGGAAAGGGCTAAAACGAACGGATTCGTTGAGGACAAGGCGAGTGCGGCGCATGAACTGTTCCCGGAGCTGTTTACGGCGCTTATTGGGGATGTTCTCTCTAGGGATTACAAACCGTTCTCTCGGCGGCACGTTTTCGCCGATCTCGTGCATTTCTCCGTCAACCACCCACCACTCGGATTTCTCGTCCACCTTCCTGAGCAACGTCGAAGGCGATAGCTTGGAACGCCTCCGTCGGGATGGCGGTGAGCCGGCATCGATCTTAGCGGACCGCAGTTGGAGAGTGAGGGACTTCAGGGAAGGATAAGAGCTCCGAACTCTTCTGGCGATAGACAACATGAAGAAGAAGAAGCCCGTAGTTTTCCCGGGGTTTAGTGCACAGGTTTATTCTCCGGGCGATTAATCCCCTCCCCTGTGAAACAAAAGGGCATATACTCATTTCCGACTAAAGAGGGAGTTGAAATTGAAAGCTCAGAAACTACAGGGACTTAACTGCAATTGTTTCTCTGTCACAATCCCGATAAACAAAACGGGGCCGTTTTCTAAAAAATATTGGACATTTCCAAAATTGATATAAATTAAAATACTTATATAAAAAATATAACTAATAAGGAAAAAACAAACATTGTACACTTGTACGTAAAAGTAATAAGTATTCTCGATTTTCAATTGTATAATAACTAAATCATTTTCTAATCTTTAATTCTATCTTTAATCATTATAAATTTATAATGAATTAAACACTATTTAATTATGTACTGAAAATTCAATTAATAATCATAATGATTCCCTAAGCCTAAAATTCTAAAATGCTAAAAAAAAGATTAATACACAATAATTGCAAGTCGGTAATACGGAATATTATAACACATTCACAATTCAATGAAATCACAATCTAACAGCAATTCAATCAAAAAAATCAAAAAACTAAAAGTAAACAGAAATAGAATTTGGATTTTGGAGAATTGGAGTTGGAGGTTACCCGGAGAGTGGGGGAGGCTCAAAGCCGCAGAGCAGGGGCGGACAGCCGAGTTCACGCCTTCCTCGCGAGGGCCAGAGTGGAGTTCACGTCTTCCTCGCGACCTTGCAGGCCGCAGCTCTAATTCGCGTTTGGGGCCGTGGGGTGGGGGGTCTCTAAATCGCGTAAGAAGGGCAAAGGCCAAGAAGCGCAGTCGTAGGTAACTGCTGGATCGCTGCCTCGCTGGGATGTGGGCTGCAGAGTTGGGCTAGGATTTAACTTAGGGCTGGGCTGAGAATTATTTTTGAAGTGGGCTCAAAATATAACATATACCTATTCTAACTATAAAAAAAAGTTGGGCTAGGCTGAAGCCCACCCCTGCCCCTGGGCAGTATGATAGCACGGACTATTTCTCCACAATAACTCATTTTAGGTTTGAAGATTATAAAAAAGAACTTAGCTAGTTTAATTTGGCAATAATAATATAATCAACGTACGTTGTTCTTAAAGGACAAAATTTATACATATATATAGGGTTGGGGTTGATTTATACATATGCAATTTCTCTAACTGTGTGAGATATGCCCAGATACAACAGTCGAATGATCTAAGAATATTGATAAGAGTTTAAACAGTAGAAGAGAAATTCAACATCAACTTATACCGTGTATTCATAATGATGATTCGATGAAGAACAATACATGGTACTCGAACGTATAAGCTAGAGAGAGAATTCTAATCTATTGGCTCTACAGAGAATAATATGCGGAACGTAATGTGTAGAGACTTAGAGAGTAGATTCGGCCATCCCTACCTATATTTATAGGAGAGATGTTCGAACTGCCTAATACAATTAGGAAACAATATGGGCCGTGTGTGTGGGCTATGTAGAGCATTTAAAAGCAGACCTAATTCTCTCTCAGCTAATCTAAATAAATACAAAGACTCATTAATTAAATTACAATTAATTTGAACACAATAAAATAATATTCTAACATTCTCCCCCTTTGTGTTCAAATGTCGATGAAGCGCGGATTATCTTTAAGTCTTGTACAATGACTTCCGATAGCCAAGAATGACTTCATAATGTCTGACTTCTGAATTGTAGTCTGAATCTTATGGCTTCGACAAAGTCTGTAATGAGAGCAGCTTGGATCGGGTCATCTGGATTTTTGGATTTTAGTAGCTTGATCGCAGCTTCTCCCAGATGGTCTTGAATTATTCTAAGTGTTCCATCGCAGTACTTGTGAATTTCGCTCATGAGTAGACCTCGCTTGATGCCCTTGTAGTCTTTGTAGACGAGTCCTATCTCGGGTTCAGTTACGATGGTGCCTTATTCAAAACTTTCGATCCATTTAGCTCTATTCCTTGGAGCACTCATGTTAACTTTTGGAAGATTGTTCTCTATGGCCATTTGCAAATCAAAGAGACAATAATATTTGACTTGTCGCATCATGAATCTCTTGAGTGCATTTAGTCCTAGGTCTTTGTCCTTTTGAGATAAATATGGAAAATTGACAAATCTGTAATAGTAGAATAGCTGAATGAGATCTTCTTCAACAACTTAGTACAGATTAGCTTCGGATGCTCTTTGAATCATTCCATTTTGTCGTTCAAACTCAAAGATCGGATAGAATGTTTTGCCAATGTTATGAATCTCTATTGCTTTAATCCCTATGATAGGTGAATCAGCGTGCTTAGTCAATCTCTTTCGGTGTCCATATGGATCATTCTGATCAGCAGACATATTTCTCAGCATCCAAATGTGACCGGAGGCGTCTGTTCCTTTCAAATGTTCTAGTCCTCGTAGCTCAAGCTCGTCAATCTTCTTGATTCCTTTCTCACTTCTCTAAATTCGTGGTCTCAGATCTTCTTGGTATGGAACAATGATCTTGACGTTTTCCTAAGGTGTTTCAAACTAGTTTTCTATATTGGAATCACCTGGGCGTCTCTTGATTAGATCTTTCACAATGTGAAAATCAGGAAGTGGATCATCGTAGAAATCTCCTTGAGCATACTCTTCAGGTTCAAGTCCCATTAACTTTTCTGCAGCAGTTTTCTTGATTTCTCGAATGAAATTCAGCTTCTTGAGAGCATCTACATTGTTCAGCTTCTGAAGTTTATCGTTCTCATTGTCTTCAATCCATTCGAGTAATATCAGATCAGCAGCTTTCTCTTTCAGTAGATCTAGGCTTTGCAACCTGTGGGATTTGTGTAGTTGTAACCGGAGGGACAGATGTGGGTAATGTAACACTGGAGTCACAAAGACTTACCGTTTTCATCATACTAGAGATGAACTCGTTCTGATGGCCTGAAAACAATGATGATTCATATGTTGCATTGTCAGGTCTTCCTTCCAATCCTTGGTCAACATCCATGTAAGATGAGCCTATAGAAGTTCTCGAGAGGACACAAAGTCCTGGCTCACTGTTAATGGGCTCGGAAGGGTAATAAACGGTTAAGGCTAGTGAGTCGTTTGGTGTAGTGGCGGGTGAGGGTTCAGGTTGAGAAGATGTGGATGGTTCAGAGTATGTGGAGGATGGAATGATTGATTGAGATGTGGTTTGCTCACAAGCACGTTGCCTTTTCTCCCCCTCATGATGATCCGAATCATCGGTGTCATCATGTTTACGCTTAGGCAAGCGTTCTTGATCACGGCAAGAGGTGGTAGGAATGAATGGAGGGGTGAGGGCTAAGATGTTGCGTACTTGGATAAGGTGAGATGGGAGATTGGGTTAGTCTAGGAGTCTGTTAAGGAAGTACTCAGATAATTCAATGATGTTCATTTGGGTAGGGTCAGGGTTTGAGGTAGATGGTGTGAATGTGGGTATGATAGAGGTGGGTGTGATGGTAGATGGAAGAGTTCCTATGGAGGGAGTTGGGTGTGATCCTTGGTCTTCTACGCCTGTTGGGACTACAGGCCGTAGGTTTTATAAAAGTGAAAGCTTGAAGGCTAGAAGTTCAGACCTTAGATTCTCCCTAGTTAAACTAGAAAAAGAAGAAAAAACTGATTTAAATGATGTATCAGTTCTCACAGCATCATTAAGAATAGCGGTGCTATGGCCTGCTGGGGAGCGTAGTGTGGCAGGACTTCCAACTATCATTGGCGTAACTCTGGTTGTTAAGACATGTGGTAATGAGCCTGTATCAGTGTGTGCAGAAGTAGAAGGTTGTGCCCTAGAAAATGATAAAAATTCTGGGAATGTGGACACATGATCTAATGTAGCGACTTCTACCCGGTTGGATTGACTGATGGGTTCCCCTTGTTGGATTGAAACAACCATCTGTAGGGAGACGGTTGAGTGGTCTTGGCTTGGCTCACTTTGCGCTATTGAACTCAATGTAGGGACTTCTACCCGGGAACTGACAACGTCAGAACCTGTACCTATGGGCTGAGTTCGGATTATTTCAGTGACTGGGGATGATGAAACAACAATAGCACTAGAGGAGGAGACATCAGCTCTCTTGGACCGAGTCTCACCTGCCCTCTTTTTGGTCTTAGTCACTCTCGGACCCTTACTTCCACTCGGATGAGATGTCGCTTGGGTAGAGACAATGGGGTTTGATTGCGTTGTAGGGACAGAAGAGATACTAACCTTGTATTCAGTAACATATGGATCATTGGGAGCGGCAGGATTGAGTAGAGCATCAGGAATTTGCATTGGCCGCATCTCAGGAGTATTGTCAACATTCTTGAAGTGAATCAGCTGAGGAATTGCTTGCAGCTCTGTTGGTGGCCTTGGTGGAATGTTGGCATCTTCTTTCATGAAGTGGTCGATCAGAATTGAGAACCAACGTACATATGGGATGTACTTGGTCTTCTTGTTCGATGCCCTTGTGCTCAGTTGCTCTAAGATTTCGAGCCAGATCAGCTGTGCCCAGTCATAATTCTTTGAAAACATCACTCCGTGGACCAGCTTTAGAATATGAATATTGCAATTGTCATGGCCTGCTTGCTTGGATGAGAGGCACTTGTTTAGAATGGCAAAGAGAGTTTTCCACGGTGTGGGCAGCTTGTTGCTTATGAATTGAGAAGATGAGGTTAGAGGTGGAAGATGGCCTATTTTGAGCATGTCAGAGAAGATTGTGGGCGGATCAGGGAACGAGTCGTATTCAGATGATATGGGTAGGTGAAGGAGGGTACGGAATGTATTTTGGGTGATGGTGATGGTGGAATTGGCTAGTGTGGCTTGGAGAGTGGGTGTGGGATTGTCAGTGGTATGCATGGTTCCCCAGAGCTGTCGGAGATAGTTCTTTGGAGCTTTGACAGAAAGGGTGAGTGCGGGCCAAAATGGGTGTCCTTTCAGTATAGAAACCATCACCTTATCTTGACACTTGAGCACAGTTGAATCCAACAAATAGTTATTGTCTTTAATGTCGATCCAACTTTCCATTGGGTACACTTCCTCCTCGGATTGAAAAGCCATTCTGCCTTGAA